AAATAAGAGAGAGAGAGAGAGAGAGAGGAAAACCTAAAATAAGAGAGAGAGAGAAAACCTTACAGAAGAGAGAGATAGGGAGAGAAAGAGAGAGGAAAACCTAAATTAAGAATTAAGAGAGTGATGGGGGGGGGGGAGAGGGGAAACCTGAAATAAGAGAGAGAGAGGACGGGGTGAGAGATCTAGATAATTCAACAGGTCCATTGTGTAGACTGGACCCCTCCTGTACGTACAGTAAAGCAATGCACTATTCATGATCAATGCCCAGAAGACATACAATAATGTTTCTACAAGGAAGAAAAATGTGCCTAACCAATTCCTATTAGCTGCATGAATTTTCACAATATTGGCATTTTCACCCAGCTAATGACACCAGTAGCAAGGCAATTAGGTAAGCGGTCGTTCCAGGTTATTTATTGCCACGTTCCCTGTTATTTATGATGTCAATTCCATGTTTTTTATGATACCGGAACCTCCTTCACTACATTTTATTGAAGCGTAGATACGTTGTTAGTACCCCATCCATCTCATTCAGAAAGCAGTATGAGGAGAAATATTTCGGTGAAGCACTTCGTGTACTCGTAGTGTGTAAATTACGCCATTTCGCTTAAATGGAAGCATGATAAATAGTTGATAAATTCTACTGCGCAGTACTATATTAGAATTACGTATTTCAAATCAAATACCTTCATGCAAAATAGATTAATGCGTTGCATCACCTTCTGGGGATAGCGCCGAAGTTAAGCAAACGGAGATAACGGTCTATGAAAGGCAAATATGCTGATTTAGTGACGGGAAATAAACTGTATGAAATGGGTTACATCGCACTTCCAACGCTTTCTCTTGATGCCAAAGGTGAACTGCGTTTTATTCATTCATTCTAATCGTGTCCAAACGAAGAATGACAACTCTTATTTAACTTCCGTTTGCCCCTGAATTTCGAACCATCTCTCACAAAAATAAATGCGAAGTTTAAATCTAAAACCAGTTTCTACAAAACGCTATTTGAAGAAACCCTCTATGGAACGCGGCCATAAAACTCGGTCCTTTGCTTTTTATTGTACAATGTACTTGTAAGATAAAAATGTTACTTGACAGTATCTACCAATACATAACGAAAATATATGTAACTTGTTTGAGGTTTGTCCATCAACGATAGTAATTTTGCTGGTAATTAGGAAATATTGAATAATATCTTAACGCCGCTCTAGCTACAGTGTAGCATCTGTGAGACGCCATTTCAGCATCGAAATGACGTCGGTACGTCGAAAATTTTCTGTTAGGATAAAAATCAACCGAACTAGTAGTTAAGTACAAAGTTATTATAAAGGAACAGAACTCATCAGGAGGCCGGACAAAAATGAAAACAATTCATTTATTTTGTCATAACCTACTGGGGTGGGAGTTCAACAGATAACTCTAAAAAACCTCCTTTTCGAATAAACCGCCAATACGGATTTTAGAATAACGATTTATGGGTAACCAAAGAGCTTCCAGGTCAGCCACAGTTAGTCAACTGGAGATAATTGGAGAATAAATCAACGTTTTTGGAGCCATAAGGCCTAATCTCAGTCGCATTAAGAATCCAGCAAAATGCACTCTCATATTTCAGTGTCTTAATTAGAGAATCTATTAATATTCCCATTACTGTGGAGCAGCTTTCACTTCAAACATAGAGATAAATTGATGCCATAAGTGGAAATTTGTGAAGACAAAACACTGACGGATCCAAGATTTTGCTAAGGTGGGGGGGGGAGGCACAAAAAAAATGGTAGCATTGATTTGTAAGGCACAGGGATAAAAAAAATGCTTGTTTTCTATCATATCATTCGTAAGACTGTTTTCTTAGTTTTATTTAGTAGAATAGAAAGGGGGTCCCTGAGGCTCAAGGATCGAGGACTGGATCCACCATTGAAAACAGCTGAAAATAGTAGAGACATGAAAGACTCATGAAAAGTTTTGAAGAATGATAATAATCCTTCAAAGTCTGTACTAACCAATACTTTTATCTGTGTCAGTGGGACATGTTTGGTCTACTGCCAATAGACATAGACCAATAAGAACCTTCTCAAGCGACAGATGCATCTCTAGCGTTTGGCTAAGAACAAAAATAGCTAGTATTCCTCTGACAGTTAATTATCTGCAGCATTTGCATGGGTGGGAACCGCCACGCAAATTGTTTTGACATCTCTCTTTAAGGGTTAATTAAAGGTCGAAAGCCACTGTCCAAACCAATTCACGTAGACTCACGTGGGGGTTCGAAGGTTCTGATTAGGGGGGTCCCAGTGGAGATCAAGGTGCCCCTTTGCGCCTGCGCAGTTGTAACCCGAGTTGTCGTGGACAAGATAGGCCACCAAGTGGTCCTCTGAGTGCAGACAACTTCTGTTGAAGTTGATGGCTACCGCACGATTACTATTCCCATTTTTTGACAGATCAGATAACATTTCCGCTAAAAGGCAACCCCCACGCGCCGATAATCTGACTTGCAGTGCATTTGATGCCAGTGGATCCCAACGGCTCTCGAAAAATCTCATCGAAATATGTAAAGGTTTGAAGATGCGTGAAAAAAATCAATAATAAATAATAATAAAATTAACACACAAAGGAAGAAAATCAGATAAATTGTAATATTGAACGATCACAATTGCGCTGTATAAAAGAAGAAAAAAGGGGGAACGGGTACTGGTATTGTTCCCGGCCTACCAATTTGAGAAATACAATCCACCTTCTCTGCATATCGAAATGGAACGGAGGTGTTCAGGAGGTGAAATCATTTACCGTATGGTCATTTATGACGAGATTTCTTCATGCTTTATGCGCCTGGTCTCTCTTCTCCAATGGTGTTAGCGCTCATCTGCCACAAGCCCTATACTGGAATAAGTCAAGAGAACTGTTCTAACTATCTGATGTAACTCCGTATGCATGAGATAGTCCTAAACAAAATGAATGGAAATGTATTTACAGATGAATACGTGGTGTGATTACTCACTCAATGTGCCATGATAAATTAGACACGTATTTTTATAATTAGATAAACCACCGGTGTGCCAGTAAACTGATTAATCAGATGAAATCCATTGCAGTGGTCTAAAATAAGTTACGTACATATTACAAAGACGTCCTTCAAACTTACATTGTACCTTGTATGATAAGGAATAGACAGTTGTGGTGAACACAGCATCACATCTGAATGCATGTCTGTCGATCCTTTAGTCTTACTGCCTCTCTATCTGTCTATCTGGTTCTCTCTCTCTGACTGTCTGTCCGTCTGTCTGTCCGTCTGTCTGTCTGTTTGATTGTCTGTCCGTCTGTCTGTCTGTTTGATTGTCTGTCCGTCTGTCTGTCTGTCCGTCTGTCTGTCTCATTTTCTGTCTGTCCGTCTGTCTGTCTGTTCCTCTGACCACACAAATAACTTATGTCAACCTTTTATAGAACTTTTTTGTCAATTAAACTATACAAATATGACAAACAATTGCGTAAGTGATATAACAAACAGTATTTCTTTTTTTTTTTCAGCCAAACTAGACAGTGTAAAAACCTTTATGAGCATCCGAAGGGTCCCTCTGAAACTCCAGGACAGGGTCATCAAATGGTTTGACTATCTTTGGATGTGTAACAAGTCTGCCGACGAGGACAAAACGTTAAGTCTTCTGCCGGACAAACTAAAGGCAGAGATAGCCATTCATGTCCATTTGGACACGTTAAAACGGGTGGAAATATTTCAAAACACGGAGGCAGGCTTCCTGTGTGAGTTGGTGCTTCGGCTGCGTCCTGTGCTGTTCTCTCCTGGGGATTATATATGCAGAAAAGGTGGGTCTGAGGAATGAGAGAGAGAGAGACAGAGAGAGAGAGAGGTGAAAATGCAAAAAAAAAGAAATGAAAATGTAACAGAGAGAGAGAGAGAGAGAGAGAGAGAGAAGGAGGAGAGAGAGAGAGAGAGGTGAAAATGCAAAAAAAAA